TACATATCGTACGAAAACATAGTTGTACATGGATAATAAAATAGTACAATAATATAGAATGTAGTAGGATACATAAAACAAAAACCAATCGGAATATAATATAATAGGGTTACATGTGATACGAAAAACCATAATATATCTTTCTATAGAGCAATAAAATGCCAACATCAAAACTACTACATTGAGAACGTAATCTGTAAATATCCACAATTGGCAGAAGAACTCTGACTGATATACATCAGAGCTTCGCGTGATATCGCCCCATCCCATCCGTCCCATGGGACGGAGAAATATTATATGAATCTATTCTTTTTTACTAAAAACAGTATAGTCCTTTCAATATAGATGTCGTACCCAACTGTGTGAGAAAAATAGTTAAAAATACAAACGATACGTGATCAAGTAGTGCACCCATTTCGATTCAATATACAACAAAAAATAATAATGAACCTACGCATAGAGAAAAAAAAATTCCATTTGATCTATTGTAACAATAACAATTGATTTAGTTATTGCGGCTTATAACTGGTGAAATATCTTTGAATAATTCGTTCCATGGAAAATATGAAATTTGTACAACGATTTAACACTGAAATTGTATACTTTGATTTATTTATTTCCGGTTGCTTTTGCATTTAATGAAATACTTTCCTTTCTCATTTACTACTTCTTTTCTCTATTTTGTAAAATGTTGTATTTATAACCAGGATGATGTCATCATTGTAATATGCAAAAAGAACAGAAATTCAAACTCTCAGCTTCATTTTAATAAAATAATGAAATGTGACATGAAGCAATATTATAATTCGTAGTCTCAGTCGATCGATGATAATCAAACAAATTTGACATCTTAAAAATGTTTGACATTTCAGATGTCCCATGGCGGGACAACCTTTTTTTAGTTGTTCCATCCCATGGGACCAAATACTTAAATTCATTTTAAAATGAATGAATCCTTACTTAATTATCAAGTATTGCTTACAATTGATAAAAAACGATAAAATGAACATTATCATAATGAGATAAGAAAAAACAAGAGTGAATCCTTTATTTTAAACTAACTTATAATGAGTATAAAAAGAAAAGCAATTGAAAATGTTTGCAATTGAAATTCTTGATCCGATAACGATGTCATGTGTAGAATTTGATCAGCAACTAGTAATACTAATGCAGGAGTTAAATTTAACATAATTTCAAGATCACTCATTTTCATTTAATAGAGCAGGTAAATAAGCTATTAAATAAAAGATATTAATAAAAAAATTCCCTTAAAAATAAATAATCTTTTGTAGTTTACAATCGGTATTGTTTCTAAAACATATTTTTGTTTCTATAAAGAAATATCTTACCTTCGATAGTGTTAACAAATTTACATAATGAAATAAACGAATATAGATGCCTTAGTCGAGCATCTTGTAAGCCAGATCTTCAAATCTTGGGATCGGTAGGTAAGATAGTTTGTATGTACGTATCTTGGTTGTATCAGATAAATCTGTACTGAAGATCTTGGGATGATCATGGAAAAAATATCGTGTACTATTATCTTTTGATAAGATCTTGAGCGAAACAGAAAGCGACATCATTAGTGTATTTACATGCTCTCTAGTCAATCACCGTTTTTAATGCATACACAGCTGTATATAAACAGAATGATTGAACATATGAAACACAAATTTTTAAAACATTTTTTCTTAACTATTTTTCGATTATTCGAGAGAATGCTGATCTCGATCGATGATCGAGAGAGGACTACCCTAATTGGTCCGACGGATATCGGACCAACTTATAGCAGCCAGTCAGATCACAACATCTGACTTGCTGGAGTTATTTGGGAGGAATAATTAAAATGAAAATAAATCGAAAAATTTTTAAAGAATGCAACAGGTTTTATTTTATTGTACATCCAAGATTTTATGGATTCTTATGTAAGATCTGAAATTAGATCCTGGGTACAAGATAATACAGTTATATTGTACCTAAATTTCCAAGATCTATTAACATATCTGTACCTTGTATCTTGACCAAGATTTTGCTTATAAGATATTTGTCTAGGGAAGAATAGTATCGAAACTTTCGAGGCGCCTTTAAATCATCACGAGATCGAATATAATGAGTATCAAAGAAAGAGATAGAGTCATATACCTGTAGTTAATTATCGTCGTCCGTATTTTGCTTTTTTTCTTTTGAAACATTATAATATGAAGTTCACATAGTATTTATTTAGATGTCTATATGGTTTAAAATAAAAGAGTAAAACACTTTCGAAGAATTTCAACTGCCTATGTAGATATTTCACTTGCATTCTTTTTTAATTTATTATATCTATTGTGCAAAAATCTAACAAATGATAAAACCTTGAGTCATTTAATTTTTATAATAAAACAAGCATCAGAACTGAACGCGAATATTTTACTTTGAGGTGATCATAATTGATGTTGGCATCACACATTGATATTCAACTAACATGTTCTACGTACAAAACAAAACATTCGAACCTATAAGTTCAATGTACTTGAGAGATATATTGATATAAGAAATTGTTGGTCAAGGCGCACACCCACATCCAACAAGAATTTACAACTGTTGGCTAAAAGTTTGTATTTACAGAGAAGCACGTAAGCTTTCTTTTTCATTCAATATAGGTATTAAATAAAGTCTACCAGATTTAAAATATATTGATCTAAATCTGGTCTAATTAAAACTAGAATTATGAAGTCTCATTAGTTTTTATAGAAAAATAAATCGAATTGTGACTTTGTCTGGCGTGTTGAACAGAGCTGATTGACATACGTATGAGAATAGCTACTGAACAAGGAGCAAAATCTTGTACATCACCTAGTAAAACGGACTGTTAGTATCTTGTATACGGCTTCTTGATTTCTAAGAAAAAGCACCATGAGTCAACTCATTACCAATACTTGTTACAACATTTAGCCATAAGAAGCTCCGTTTTCTCTCCTGAAATATCACTAATGGTCAAAAAAGACCACAGAAAGTTTCGACAATTTATAAAAGTTTTGAAGTGCTAATAATTGTGGTAATATGCTGCAATCAAAAGTTACCGCTTGAACTTTTCGTAACTTATGAAACCTGAATTTAGGATAAACTGATGTCTATTCAGACCTTGTGGGTTGGCCGTCTAACTTTACAGTTTCTATATCGTCCATCTCCAGTAAAGTCGCAAGTTCGACCACAAATTCACATCAGATAGTCGTTAATTTCTTCTTTCTTTCATTATTCTACTATTCATGAGTCTAGTGTAATAATAGAGAGATGGTTCAATCTTCCTAATGCTTTACTCACCACGAATCAGAATTCGAAATAAATAAAGTTTTATTGTTATTGTTGGAAAAAATTGTTACTATCTACACCGTTTGTCTATTTTATTTTCAGATTGCTTCTTATCTGTATTTTAAGACAGGACAACATTTATCTGCTTTGTTTGCTCTAGTTCCTTTTTTCATGCTTTTCTAAATGCGTAATAATATGAATTCTATTAAAAAGAACTACACATAGAAACACTAAAATATTCAGTAAGCGAGTAGGCGATGGAGTAGTGACAAAGCAAAATAAATTCTTATCTCTACAAAATTTAATTCTCTGTGATTTCAAGTGACAAGTTTCTTTAAAAAAAATTGATGTTGACTGTAACTAGAAGACGAGACATTAAGCTTCTGCTAGATCTTTCGATTATTCTATTTCGACAGACTAGGATTCTATTTGTTAAAATATTTTGCATCTATTTTAAATTGAGATAAAAATCAAATCAATAAACGTATACCGCGATTCGATACTTGATTTTATCACTCACTTAAAACACGAGAAAGAAGAAATTTAGGGTGTGGGTGTGGGTGTCCAAAACATCAACACCCACACCTACATCCTGTTCAATCTTGTAGAATCAATCGAAACCACATTTTATTGTGTTCCTTTATTGAGATATTGCGAAAAAAGTGCGTGGATAGATAGGAGTATTTGATAATTTTTTACACTAACCTTGATAGATTTTTCATTACTAAACAGTAACGTTTCGACCGTTCGGGCTGAAATGCTCACCAAAGATTGAGTAGGGAGTGGGCAGTTATTTGACACTATTTTCAATTTGAAATACCTCATTAGGGAACATACTATATATGTGTTTGTTCTATGTCCGAATTAGTAATTTATATACAAAACCGGAACTCAGGATATTTTGAACAAAATTGCCCGTAGACTCTGTCAAAATAACTTAATTTTGATATTAAACGATTCCTCGTAAAATTATACCTCTAGTGAGCTGTAAACAAACCGAAACAGACGATGGCCCAAAACTGACACCTTATGCGCCCAGTCCTTTGCAGGCACTCTTGAAATATTCGATTGAAATGTACACTGCGTAGATGGCGAAAAACTTGTTTGTGAGTTAGAAAGCATGGGACCACAGATACTTGACAGTCAGATAAAAAGTAGCAGAGTGGTCAGTTCAACTGCATTATTTATTTCTCTCTCAGGCGACTTCAACTCAAGCAGTTGTTTAGCCAGTCCACCGAAAGTCATAGAAAAGAATTGGATGGCATCAATATGATTGTTAAGAGTGTATTTTGTCGAATCAATTCTATCTGTTTCGCAGGTTTCTTTCAAAAATCAATCTGCATATTCTTCAAATTTCAACCGAGTTTTCTGCCACAGTTATGGTGAGTAGACTATACACCATTATTAGCCTATTAAAAGAACGAATTAAATGTAGTTGGACAATTAAAAAGGTGAAGCAATAAATGACTAGTTCCAACAAAATTACAGTGTTCCCATAGAAGTTCATTGAATCGAACAACGCAAGTTAATTTCAAAAACTAATCTATATCCATTCGATTTATTTCTTATGCCATAGAAAAATTCATCCGATAAATTCGTCAGTAATTTTGTGAATAGTCGAGTTCGGGGTATGGGTGGATATTTTTTTGGATGTAAACCCACACCCTTCGATGTTGTTTTGTTCACTTCTAGATAGAAGTGTCCATCGAATGGCACATTTCTCCGTCGCAAAATGGATTGTAATGCTATTTTTTGTCTCGTCCGCATCTGCACAACAGTGCGATCAACCTGTGGACAGTGCACGCTTCGATTGTCACCCTGAACCATCTGTATCACAACAAAGCTGTCTGGATCGTAACTGTTGCTGGAAACCGATCTTCTCACCGGCGATTCGATTGCTCAAAAATCATTCGACTAATTATTTTGAAGGCGTACCTTGGTGTTACTATCCACGAGATTTTCCAACATATCAAATAAAGACTAATGAATCAACTAGTTTTGGTCAACGACTAACCATTGTTAAACGACAATCGACCTATATGCCGAACGAAATTCTGAATTTGACAGTTGATCTTATCTACGAAACAGCACAACGATTTCGCCTACGAATTTATGATTCAACGGAGAAACGTTTCGAAGTACCACTTCAAGTTCCTGCCATTGAAACAAAAGCAAATGCCACCGATTACGAAGTTTCATTGAGTCAAACACCATTTGCCATTCTTGTCAAACGGAAATCGACACGTGGAATATTGTGAGTACCTTTCTCACTAATAGCTTTTTTTTGGCATTTGTAACGGATGATTGTATGTAACTTATTCTCTTTTAGATTCGATTCCAGTGCATCACCACTCATCTATGCAGATCAATTCATCAAATTTTCAAGCCATTTATCCAGTCCATTTCTCTATGGTCTTGGTGAACATCGGCAACCGCTATTGATCAATGTTACAAATGAATGGAGAAAGCTAACGTTTTGGGCTCGTGATATTGGTCCAGCTGAGGGTGTTAATCTGTACGGTAAGTATTTTACAATATGTACATATTTCATTGATGTTTGTCATCAGGTGTTCATCCATTTCACATCAATGTGGAAATGAACCACAACAACACGCAAACCAATTTTCATGGACAATTCTTTCTCAATTCAAATGCGATGGATGTTGACCTTCAACCATTACCTGCCATTACTTATACAACAATTGGAGGTATCATTGATTTGTATTTGTTTACTGGACCCACAGCTCAAGATGTTATTCAACAATATTGGGATGTGATCGGGGTAATGAAAAATAAAATAAAAGATTGATCCTTTCATCTGTTTGGCTGAATTTTAGAAACCTGCAATGCCAGCTTATTGGTCTCTTGGTTTTCATCTATGCCGTTGGGGATACAATAATATCGACAATTTGCGAGCCGTTGTTCAAGTACTATTTCGTGAAAATAAAGACAAAAAATTGTTGATTTCATTTATCCGTTTCATTAGCGAATGCGTGCTGCCGAATTTCCATACGATGTTCAATGGACAGATATTGATGCAATGTCATCTCATCTTGATTTTACCTATGACCAAACAAATTTCAATGGTCTTCCAGATCTTATTCATTCGTTGCAGTCTGAAGGTAAACACTACGTTAATATCATCGATCCGGGTATCAGTTCCACACAACCATCCGGTACCTATCCACCTTACGATGATGGTATGAAAAGAGCGATTTTCATGACTAAATTTAATTCAACGGAACCAATTACGGGACAGGTATTCTTTTATTCATGTCAATACGATAGCATCGCAATATATATGTGTGTTCTAGGTTTGGCCGGGTAAGCATTGCCGTCGAAAACAATCGATTGATTCTCGCCATCATTTTCACATCTAGGATTGACAGTATTCCCAGATTTTACCAATGCGAGCACTATTGAATGGTGGACAAACATTGCTGCTACATTTCACGATATAGTTCCATTCGATGGGATTTGGATTGTACGTAAATATGTCTTGGAATTAGTTGTGCACTCCAAAAAATCAGTCATGACACTTATTCAATTTGTAGAAGACGTTTGTCGTCAATAATGCATCTAGTTATCTTTCTAGGATATGAATGAACCATCAAATTTCATCGATGGTTCTCAAGATGGTTGTACCAATAATTCATTAGATAAGCCTCCATTTGTTCCAAGTAACTTGTTTTTCATAAAAAAAGTCGTACTGAAAATTATTAAGTATTTATCAAAGATGTGGTTGGTTCTTCACTCAGTGCAAAAACACTATGTCCATCTGCACAACATGCACTTTCCTTCCATTATAATTTGCACAACATGTTCGGTTATTTCGAAGCAAAAGCGACGAATCTGTAAATTTATAACTAGAGTTTTGAAGAAAAAAAACGACTTGCTACATATATTGTAGTGCATTGCAAACAATTCGTCAGAAACGAGCATTCGTTTTGTCTCGTTCGTCATTTGCTGGCTCGGGTCAATATACCGCTCATTGGACGGGTGATAATCGCGCGACATTCGAAGATATGTACTTTTCAATTCCGGGTACGTATATCAACAATGCACAGATGGAAGAGGATTTGTTCGTATTTGACTTCAATAAAGTTTTTCTTTCATTGGATAACAGAGACTACGAGCTTACAGAAGTGTATGGTATTATGTTATAGAGATATACGAATGACTTACCCTTGTCAAAATCTACATTAGATTTGTGCTTATTATCTTAGATCACCCCTCGTCGTTAAAATAAACAATAATGACAACCAACAAAATCTTCCTCAGGAGAAGCATCTATTTATTTTTCTCTATATTCTAGCCATTCTTAGTTTCAACATGTTTGGTGTGCCCAATGTCGGTGCCGATATTTGCGGTTTCGGACTTGATACTACTGAAGAGTTGTGCACAAGATGGATGCAACTGGGTGCATTCTACCCTTTTATGAGAAATCACAATGCTATCGGTCAGAAGGTACATTCTCGATCAGGATAACATCGTGCATAAATTTCTATATGAAAAAAAATAGGATCAAGATCCTGCTGCATTCTCTTTGACAACTCAACAGATCATGAAACAAGCATTGCTAATGCGATATTCACTGGCTCCATTCTGGTACACTCTTTATCATAAAGCAGCGATGGTATCAAGAACTCTAGTGCAGCCACTCCATTTCGAGTACTATAGTTAAGATTTGTGTCGTTCTTTTTGCCTAACTATGCAACTCTCTCTTAGATTTCCCAATGACAACAACACACTTGGTATCGACCAACAATTTCTAATTGGTAGTGCCATTCTTGTCTCACCAAGTCTTGTTTCAGTTAATAGACAGAGAGTATGCTCTATCCGTTTTTGTTTACATTCTCTAAATTTTCTAGCAAACAACTACAGTACATGCTTATATTCCACAAGATGTTTGGTATCAGTTTCCATCGGGTGTCAAAGTGCAAGTTGCCGGTATATTTACGGATCTTGATGCTCCTTTGGAAAAAATTAACGTTCATGTTCGAGGTGGCTTTATCATTCCGATGCAAATACCAGGTGCCAATTTAGTGATGGGCCGTCAAAATCCGTTTATATTACTTGTTGCTCAATCAGCAGCAGGAAATGCAAGTGGAAATCTGTTTTGGGATGATGGTGACTCCATTGGTGAGCATATCTTTGTTAAGAGCATCAAACATATTCAATTATTTTTCCGTATTAAGATTCGATCGAAACCAAAACCTACAATTACTTTGAATTTTCACTCGTTTCGGTGAGTAGAAAGATTGAAAGAGAAACCGTATGTTGGATGTTCACTATTAAATAGAACGCATTGACCATCCATGCAATCGTAACCAATTACAAAGATTCACCGATGCGTTTGGAAATTGTTCGAATTCTTGGTATTAGTAAATTAGTGACGAGTGTAACTGTGAATGAAAAAGATTACAAGAACTTTTCCTACAATATTGCCGATCAAGTACGTTCTTTAAAGTTGTTCATTTGGCTTTCACAGTACTATTTTAAGAGTAATGAGTCAAATTTTTCTCGAATCCCGATCTCAGATTTTGCAGATTTTGGGAAAAAATCCAACTCTATCGTAGGTAATGTTTGTACATTTCAACTAGTTCGTTTTGAGTAGTTTCGATGTTTCTTGCAACTCTATAACGTCTTGCTACACTACCAAAATAGAAGTTTCAGGAATAGCAAATTTATTGATGACTAAGGATTAATTATTTGTCAAATTTCTTTTCTAGATCTTGGTCGTGGATGGGCTCGATATGAATATGCTTGCTCAATCGAGTCAAACAATTGCATGGACAACAACAATTAATTGAATAACATAGATAATTAATTCTTCTTCTTCTTCTTTACCCCTCAGTATTGATTTTTCTTTGTAATAATATTCGGAACTTGTCATCAAACATGCATCGATCAAATTTTTTCAAGATATAGACCAGAAAAAAAGTTCATTTAGACTTCCTTTTCATTTGGACCAATCATGCATAATATTTTAGCTCGAACAGCGTCAGAAACCTGGGAATGTTCTCTCGTAAGTAGTTTGCAGGGGTGGGTGCGGGTGTGTGTGTGTGGATGTGAGTACGGGTATGGATATGAGTTTGAAGTGTAGTCGTAAGAAAAGATATAATCAATAATACCACACCCTCACACACACCCCAGCAGCACTTCTTCTTTGGAAGAACAAAGTACTTTTTTCACTTCATATTGGTGGTTTACTGTCAGCTGAAGCAACTGAAAATCTTCAAGAATGGATGGTTCATCATTCATATTTAACAAGAGAACATTCTTTTGCAATTGCTTATCAAAAAAATTGGTTTTCTTTATGATGGTAATGATACCAAAATAGCAGAAGTTATACTACAAAGGTTTTTCTCTATGAGAATTCTCATCACTATACATTTGAAAAATCAAGAAGATTTTACGTCATCACACACACATCGAGAAATCCTAATTAGAATATATTTTCCATTATAAATCTTACTTATGCTATTTTTTTAACGAACTTTTTTGTAGTATGTATAACTTATTTTCGCCACGACGTTTATTATTCATATTAGAAATTTAAATCAACACAAATAAAATGTCAAGAGATTCGTACCGAATCCTATTCGTGATACATCTACATGAAGTAGAGCTCTATTGAAACAATTGATTCAACAGTAACTTCGGCAAACTTGCCGACTTTTGAAAACATGCATGTTATTGATAAGAAAATACATTGGTATCGATCCACTCAATGCACCCATTTGACTGATTGCACCAAGCCAGAATAGTCCATGTTCGCGTTCATATTCTTGTCGAACACGGTTGGCTATAACTAAANTAACTGTTGATGTTGTGTCTAGAGTACCAAGAAGAAAAACGAATATAACGAAAAGAACAGAATGTTGAGCACCAGCAAACCAATGTGTCTTATTCCAATATTGAGCCATTAAACCGCAAGCAACGATTCCAATTATAATTTCAATGTAGATGAAAATACGTTCGTCGAGGCGCCCTTTAAAAAAGGCTTTCAGTAGCATGATAATAATCGGGGCTGTATTACTGAGAGCGACCGCAAAACTCAGAAGCGAAGGTAGAGCCCAACCTTCGGGTACTTCATTAACAATCAACGGAAGTTCGACCCAGACACCATTGAGATCAAGCCAAGTCGATAGAGCCAATATAACGAAAAGAAAAGCGGTGATATTGAAATTTTTTTCAAACATTATTATGTAAACTTTTTGTCAAATTTCTTTTTCATAACGATAAACGTTTTATACATCTGCGTCACTCGTTATTGTTTTGCTCTGAGTCTCTTGATTCTCGTCATTACACAATCCTACTAACACATAATTGATAAGAAAGTGTCAGTCATAATGTCTTTGTAACTATAGATTTGCGTTATCATCTTGAAAATATGATGTGCAAAATTATAAACTTCACAATAAATGTTTTTTTCCTGACCTAGGAAAAGAAGGCTCTATTCATTTGAAATCAATGTAGTATGTTCTTTTTTCTTGGTACAACGTTGTTTTGCCATTTATTTGTTATTGAAAACGAAATTTTCACGTATCTATGCAAACAATCACTAAGATAAACCGAAGTAACAGCTGAAATTCAGACTTAGCAATATCGTATGTTGTGACTCTTAATATAATTATTGAAATGATCTTTACAACTGCGATACAAAATTGTTCGGCAAAAAAATCTTAAAACAAGATTTTTCTCGATCAAATACTCGTATATCCTTCTTCTTTATCTATTTCTGAACGCCCATGATGTCTACAAATTACACATGGCACAATAACCGTAGTAAATTTTTAACATGGATATTTCTGAGATTCTTTTATTGATTTGTTTGCTCTGATTTACCCTCAATATCAGCATGATGAATAATGGCATCATGATGACCAACGCCTTCTTTCAGAACGACAACATTTTACTTCATTATGAATACTAGTGATTATGCTGACACATAATTAACCAATACATCGGAGGCTTATTGTAATTCATAACTAGTATCGAAATAATCAATTTTCTCATCGGTGTTTGAGAAAAAAAATAAAAATAAAGTTTTCTTTAGTTTGACAGAGTAACCTAAACATAAACTAAATATCTTCACCTCAATTAATATTATCTACTCAGTGCTTATTTCGTAATAAAACATCAAAGATTATGCCCAAAGCTATATTTTATGTTTTTAATTCTTGAAATTGTCTAAATACTAGACGTTTTTATGTTCAAAATAAGTTGAAAAAAGCTGTTAGCGCAATCCCTGTGGGATTAAAATGTGAAACACGATGAAACTCCTTTTCTGGAATTCGTCTATCACGGTCAATGATAGTTTGTGAAGTTTCTCTGTTACGATCTGTATTATGATGTGTGGACTCTCTAGAAACCATCACAGACAATTACAAACAGGGTGGCCAGATCAAAAATTGAAAAATCAGAAATTAATCAGAAAATGGCAGTTTTTGGCAAATTAGTACATCTTCCGCCAAAATACTGGCATCCAAAAGTCTATTATTTTTCTGTTCATTGGCTGAAACTTTATTTTCAAAGATATTTCAATAAGAAGAAAGACGACATAGTAAATATATCGTTTAGCTAATACGAAAACATCGATAGAAAACACTTAATACTGAGCTTCTTTTTAAATTTAAAACTCGTTTACATACATTCCGCGTAGAGTAAGAAATCCAACGGAAAAAAAAGTTAAATCTCATCATCTCGATATTGTTATTCATATTTTGTATCTTTTGGAATTTGCCCTAGAAAGTTCGTTTGAGATAACATATGCTAATAAAACCTTCTCAAGAATAGTTACCATTCATTTTTATTTTAAGTCAGGCATTATCTGGTTTTATATTATCGGATTACGATAATCGGACTATAAATGCTTCATATGACCGAAAATCAATTCGACACCAGAATTCGAACGAGGATTATAAAAGATGATTAATGGAGAAAATCAATGAAGCACTATTGATTTGCTATAGTAATGGGTTATAATCGTACCTAATTTCAGCGACAAAGCAGCGATCTGAATTTATTCCAAATTCAGAAAACTCAGAAACATGTTCAAAATTCAGAATTTTCCCCCGTTTTTTCAGAAGATCTGGTCACCCTGATTACAGGGACCACAGAAATCACCACATATTGTTACAGAGAAAATAATTAATTAATTTCGCTATAATGGTCCTGGGAAGACGCGGGTATGTGTGGTGAGTCGAAATTTCTACCCTATATACTTCAACACTGGTTTCAGATCGTATTTCATATAAAAAAGATTTATGATATGCGCAATAAACGAAAAATAATAAATTTCACTTGAGTTTGGCGTCTTTGACTATACAGAAGTTGTTCTTGGACATAAAATATTGAGTATAATTTAAATGACAACAAAAAGAGCGATAGCATATCTGTATAGCCGAGATTATTGTTGGAACATTGCTTTCCTATTCAAGGTTGTTTTTTTTGTGAAATCCCTTTTACTATCTTGTAACAATATACTTCAAATAAATCTTTATATGATCAACTATATTCTCGATAGTTTTATCTGATAAACATGTCAAGAATAATTAAATTTGATATAGTAAAATTCCTAAGTTCCTAGATATGCATGCATCTCAACTATATTATCGATGTATAAAAACATATCGTCAAATCATCGACAGTCATTTTTATGCGAATAGATTTTCGTTTCAGGTGCACGTACACAACGGCAAGGTATGTATATCCTATAATTGGATACTTGTCTGATCCAGCTTTAATTCGTTTGATATTTTAGTTTTATCAACTGATTCGTTTCAGTTCAGAAAGGGAGGATATTAGAATAAACGTCTAGAGAGAAAAAGGTCGACATAAATCTATATACTATGTTGATATTTTCTTGTATTTCTAACGCAATTGAAGCGAGAAGTTTTCACCAGATTTATATTCCTGAAAATAATCAGTGTATAAAGACTTCAGAAAAAAATTAGTTCCAGCGATCCTTCTATAAATAAATCTTGTCATTGACGATAGAATTTTTTCGTTAATAAGTCACACGTAGATTAAGTTGTCTAATAAAAATATTCTATCTCATAAAGGTTTAATGGATATTAAAGAATGAATAGACAAGCTTCATTTGAAAAAATAACGCTTGTCACCAGAATAAAAGCTGCAGTCAAAACTTATTTGTGGGTTTTTGAAATCGAAAATGACTAGCTTTTGAGTCGAGAAAGTTTTTCTTCGATTTGATCTGAACCAAGTAAGATTTATTAGCTTGTTTCATTCGTGCTCTGCTGATTGGCAGCATGTACGTTCAAAAACTATGCAATGAGAATGTAGTGCTCATTGATTCTTGTTTTCTATTACACTTGAATTTCGCAAGAAAAATCGTTTTTGCTGAGTAGAAAATGCTGAGGATAGGTTAAATATTTTGTTCGAAATCTAACCGACTAACTGAATTGTTCATATTTGAAATATTTAAAATAGTATACGAGAAATTCATTATGGATGAGATTTAGTTCGTCAGCATAGAATATCTTCTATAAGATTTGTGATTTCATATTTAGGTTAATCCTTTGAAAGATCAAACAAAAGCGAATTCTAACGCCACGCGAATCAATAAGACATGTGAGTATGCATTACAACAAAAGCTAAGCCTATATCTATATTCAAGTTATCAGCTTTTCGTTGGAATAACAATTGATTTTTAAAAAGAAAATTGTATTGCTACATCAAATATACTAATGCTTTTCTTCTATAACGATGAAGAGTATATTGCATTTTGAATATATATATGTAGGACAGCCATAGATCCTATGTTTATTATGACACAACAACCTCGACAAATAGAAAATGTATTTGGTTTGGGTAATGGCGAAAAAGTTTTGAACGAGTATGCGTATGAGAGTAGCTCGTGTGGATGTGGTCCATCGTACAAAGTATATTTAACCGATGCACGGATTATCCAACGAGGACAAGAAAAATCAGGTTGTTGTACTACACATCAAGTAGATTCAATGCTCTTTCTATCCGATATTAGTACCATTAGCAATTATGCACAAAGACAAACGTGTAATATATGGGACATCATATGTTGCCCTTGTTCCATCTTGAGTTGCTGTTTCACTGCTGGCAAACCCATCAGTATTCGTGGAGCGTTCGGACAAGAAGTGTTTATGTTTGCCGTCGCAGATGTGAATAGAGCTCTCGCAGACATTCCTCAAGCGGCCTTACCAATAAAAACAGCGAAATCCCACTATTGAATCGAACAGAGCATGATGACATAACAATGACGAATATTTTAATTTGAATTCTTTCACATGATTAAATATATAATTCGGATAAACTTGATCAAATAATATTTCTAGAATTCCAAGCAGTTTTATTTGATTAGAAGGAATGCAGCATAGTAATAGACTCAACCTTTTATTGATTGACATATTGAATAGAAAAAAGATTGTTTGACTTTACTCATTGATACTAGAGTATCTTGAAGGATTTAAGAAGAGAAACATGTTTGTTCTTTCATCAATATCTACACCGCTCACACCTTCGAGATAATTGAGAATACTCATTTTTTCTGGTACTTTTGAAATACGAACTCTTTATTATTGCAAATGGTGCTGACTTTATTGATACTTAATATGTTTAATTCTATAATACCATTGCTGATTATCGTCCAACTACAGACATAATGTGTTGATAGGATGATTATATGCGTTTTATTTCCTCGAACACGATTTAATACTTTTGCGAATGAAATTTGATTGATACATGCAGTTTGAATTTCACCTTGAGGATGTGGGTGTGGGTGTGTGGGTATGGGTGTATTGATGAAGGAAAGATAAACCCACATCCACACCCACACCCTTATCGATTCTGTTTCTCTTAGAAATAAATATGTTCACTTCGATTGAAAAGAAAAACAAAGACCAAAAATATTTCTTTTGACAAGTGAATTTTTTTATTTTCCACTTTCATTTGTTATTCTATAATATTTTCAAACATGATATTTATCGTGGCAAGGACAACGCACTTCCTATGCTTAATTAAATTTATTCATTTTCTAGAAAAGTTTGTCAAGCAAAATTGACAGCATTAAGCCATTTTAACTTTTCATTTTCCTTTGTAAATCAAACATCTTTGACTCGTATTGATCAATTCTTTTTTATCTTGTAGATAGTAACACTTCGTTTTGAAATCTCAACTCTAAATCATATTGACTGGGTTATGATTACTTCCTCGAAGAAAAATCAACGTTTAAGTTAGTCATCGATCTGAATAACATTGTTCACATTATTTCTTTGACTGTCATATGAATTCCATGATGATTCTTCTATTTTTCTAATCGGATATAACTTTCGAGCAGTTTTCTCAAATGACATCTCCTAGACTACATATCGATCGGAAAATTTGAAAGAGATTTTCAAAATAAAAGCTTGATTAAAATACTTCAAAAATGAACTGGATAGTCTTAACATCGATCAATATGAAAATTATGATTTTATCGACAAGAACAAGCTATTTGTCTCGATCGAAAATCTCTTCGGATCGATTTGTCTGATGTTTACTCCAGTAATATTATGTGACATATCTCAAAGTATTCATATTTAGATCCTATTCATGACACAAAATATTTTCCTTCCGATGCAGTTTTCATTCTTCTTTTATTTTAGAATTAATTCTGTTTATTCGTCTTGACTTGTTTTCGAAAGAATAAAAATCCCTTTTGACTGTAGTTTTAACTAAATGAACAAACGACGACCTCGTTCATTGACACGTCACGATCTTAGAAAAAAAGCAAAACAACAACTGAGCACGGATCGAAAAACACAATAACCTCATTGAAAGATCTCAAACCGGAAAAGTTAAATACGACCTCTTGATTGCTAAAAAAAATGCATTTCCTTCAATTGCTTTTTTGTCTGATATCGATAAATTTTGTCAAAATGATGTGTCCAATCGATGTATCCGATTTGACACTTTCGAAGTTAACAACGATGTCTTCAAGTAAAATTATAAAACTAAAAAGAAAATCGCTGCTTGTTGAATATCTTCGAAAGAGAGGTTTTTTTTTGTTTTTATGGAAATTTATCTTGATTTAGTTTTGTCTCTATGAAAATGAAAGATTTTTCTTTTAGAATCAATTCTGTTTAATTTATTAAATTTGAACGATTGAACATAGAGTTTTTTCTAATTCGAAAATTTATTTTAATTGCACATCTTAGTTGTTCTTACACATTCGTTTTTTTACTGAATAAATCCCAGTATATAAAACTGGCAATAACCGCTATAATGAATACCGTCGTTACATGAAAACGTACTGCTGTTTGTTCGAAACATTGTAAAGATAACGGCAGGTAGCCGCGTTTTTTGAAATTTTGAAAGTTTTATAATTCTACATGAAAATCTTCTCGATAAAATGAATAAATTTGAGGATACCTTGACAGTAGAAACATCCGATTCTTTCCTTAATTTAAATGAAATGTTTTTTTGTTTTTGATTTTTTAGTTAAAAACAAATCTAGATGAGTTATTGTTGTAATTATAAAATAATCTAATTATTTAACTTTGATATTTAGTTGAAATAAATAATTTTCGATAAGAATAATTTTTTGCTTTGTTTTGTTTAAATTAGAGAAAAAAAGTGTTTGGAAATAATATTTAAGTGATTAAATTGCAATATAAATGTATAAATAAAAAGAAAATTCATTGATTAATCAATGAATTTAATTTAAAATTGAATAGAAAATATGTTTATTATAATCACCGTAATTGTCAATTGACAAAAAAATGTCTTAAGAAAAGAAGGTCAGTGAAAAGGAGAAGAAGAAAAGTCTAAGTGCTTTTGGCATATTGTTGAAGAAAATAATTATAATCGATCGTTTCTTCCATTTTTGTATCAATTTGTGATGTTAATGAATAAAATTCTTCATCATTCAAAGTACATTTATATTGATTAAGAATATCTTTAAATACTTTAACAAGTACTGAACCATTATTTATTGAATCTTGTTGCTTAAATGTTCGTCGTAATTATTTATAAGAATAGGTTAACTTAAAAATTTTGATTTAATTAAATAGGAACATAAAAGTAAATTTACCTTTCTTCGAAGTTTATTTGCAACTTGATTTGAAACTGTTCGATCTGCTGTAGTACGTGGTGATAGTTCATTCATAGTTGGTAAAGGATTTCTACTTGATTCATCAACAAGACCAATTAATTCTGGAATTGGTGCATGATGTTTTAAAAATCGAACATAATTCATTCTTTTAGAGAAATAATAGAAAATAATTTATAAAAAAAAAGAAAAAACCCTGAATCATTTTGTGTTTGAAACCTGGATTTAAGTATATCAGGGCTGGAACCGGTCCCGGACCGGGCAGGACCGGTTAAGAAATTCAACCGAGCCGGTAAATCGCCGGTTGAAATTTTAAAATAACTAGCTTCATTTAGCTCTGTTTTGTTAAAAAGATGTTTTATCAGTATATATATACATTTATTTATATATAAAAAGTCCTATAAATCTGTTGATGCTGCAAAAGTTTTGTGGAATTCAGAAGAAATATTGATTATAATCATAAACACCAGTAATAAATCTCATTTTCTTTCATAGTAAAGAGAACTCAACGAAAGTGCGACAGTTGATCAATTTGGTTGGTCAATGCATTATCAACAGTGATCTTTTTTTCTGTCGTGTTTTATTTATTTCTCGTCCGTCTCTGCCGGAATTTCACCGGTTCGAGAATAATTTATGTCCGGCCGGTTTACCGATCGGATCGGACCGGTAAATGTTTTTAACCGGCCGGACAGGACCGGTTTATAAATATCTTACCGGTTCCAGGCCTGAAGCATATCAAGATCTTCTTGATTAACAGATGGGCAATGTTGAGTTAAAATATCATCCAATTCATCGGATTGGAGATAACCTGTTCTATATGGATCTAATTCAGTAAATTCTCTTCTTAATTTATCCCAATATGATCTAATTGCATTAAGTGCAGCTCCATGAACAAGAACTGAATCTCCATATAATTTTCTTCGTGTTAAAAAAGATCTGCGTCACCTCGTCGAGGAGGATTTTGTTTTGCATTCAGATAATGAACTGAACGTTTTGAATATCCAAATTCACGTAGAAATTGATAAAAATATAAATGTTGATTTTCTTTTAAATGACAATCTGACCAAATTAAATCGATTTCCGAATGATTTACTTCTGGTTTAACATTAAGACTAAACAAAGAAATTTAATCAAAAAAAAATTATGTTTAAACTGTTTCAATAAATCAAATCAAATATTTGTGCACTTTGTTCACAAAAAGCAGAGTGTACTGTACATTTTGTTTTAGATTTCCATTGGAAACACCGGTACCAAAGTGTACGAAAACCTAACTTTTCACAATCTAAAAAGCTAAATAAATTGCTCGCTTCTTTTCTCTATTCAGCCCATCAAAGAATTGAAACGCGGAGATCACACTTCCCCATCATTTAAAAATAATGCGTAATTTAATATTACGTGCAGCCTTTAAGGTTCAGAAATCAAAGTGTAAAATGTTTTACCAAAGTGTACAGCAGAGTGTACATCAAAAGTAGCAAATTTTCTGTACATTTTGCTTCTGCTATGTACACTTGCTATTGGAAACACTGTTTGGTACATTTTGCCGACGAGAACAAGATGTACACGTACACTTTGCTCATATAATACAGTGTACAGCACATTTTACTTTAGATTTCCATTGGAAACAGTGTGTGCATGTTCTTGTTTCAAACGCCATCTTTCTCATATAATAGAGGCTTAAATTATTTTTATTGCAACGAACAGCGTGTGTACGTCAAGTACGTCAAAGTGTGTGTAGCTTATCACAACCAATCAAAAGATTCCCAATAAAAAGACTTCCTATTGGCTCTAATCGGCCATTAACGTGCGTTTGTCGCCAGTTACCAGCGACGATCTCGAAAACCCGACTTGGGCGCTAGAAATAAATAGTACTCAATTTTTTTCACTCTTGATTACTTCAAATGACCACAGTGAGAATCTTCGGAAGTGTCCCACTGCAAAGTGCATATGCTGCTATTGATTCGATGAATCATCAGGCTGTGATCACATACTAGTATATATATATATATATATATGAGACTTTTAGAAATCTAGTCGATATAATGAATATATCTTTGTTATGTTTTAATATTCAACACAACGATAGATGCATTAGGTTACGGAATTCTTAACTGATTAAAAATCGATTATGATATCTTTTATTTTCTATGCTGATTAACTATTTTCTTTAAAATATTTATATAGATCATCTTTAATTATCAAACACAATATGATGATGACATTAGTTTTTGTTGTTAGCACCGAAAACGAGCACTCATTCATTAAAGCAAGATATTGGTTAACTTCAAATATTAATTTTCAGTGCTTTTCGAACGTCATTGGTTTATACATAACGGTTTTTATGGAATTCAAATTATTATTTTTCATTATGAAGATTTC